GAATTTTTTTTGATGATTTTTTCAAACAATTTTGATCCAAATTTCATCTGTTTTTAAAAAAAATTTTTTTATATTTCAAAAAAACAGAATCAAATTTTTATAAAATGGATTTTTAAAAGTTTTTTATAGTTGGCAACAATTGCTTTTATAATTTATGAATTATCTATGATTTTTCATTTTTTTATTTTTTTAAAATTTCCCTTAATTGGAAATTAAAAATATTTTATTAATTTTTATTTATCTAAGATCTTTTTTAAAATTTAATTTTGTATTATTTCATATACTGTTTGAAAATTGTAATTTTTTGATTTTTAAATATAAATTTTGTTGAATAATTTTTCAGTTCTTTTTTTTTTTTTTGGGAAAAAATATAAAGTTAAATAAAAATAAATAATAAATTTATTTTTGATTGAAAAAATATTAAAAGGAAATATCTAAAGAATGAAAAAATTAATTAAAATGATGGATTAAAAAAAAAAAGATTATTTAATAAATTTTTTCCACAAATTTAAAAATAATTTTTAAAAAATTTACTTGAAATTTTAATATTTTTTTTAAATTAAAAATGAATAATCATATCAGAAGAAAAAAAAAAATTCTGAAGTAAAAAAAAATATCATTTGAAAGAAAAAAAAAAACAATAAAATATAAATAAATATATATATATAAAATATATAATATATATATTTTTTTTTTTTTTTTTTTTTTTTTTTTAATTTCACCCCAAGCAAGGCGGGAAGCCACTAGGACGCAAGGGGTTACAGAAAATTTGGAGCAAGATCAGATAGGAGTGATAGAAGAAAGGATGAGGAGAAGGATAGTGGATAGATCAAGGCAACTGGAGATGTCGATTGACATTACATTTGAATAGTTGGAGATTATAGCTCTCAGGGAAACTGGAATAGGGAAGGGAGTTCCACAGGCGAGAGGTGCGAGACATGAAGCTATTGGAGTAGAAGAGACGGTTACATTTAAGATTTACGACAGTGAAAGGGTGAGAGCGGGATGCCAGCCTCGTAGGGCGCTTGAACTCATGAAGTCTGGGAACCAGCGAATGCAGCTCCTCGGAGCAATTACCATGAAAGTATTTGTAAAACAGACAGAGAGGAGGCGACGGCGACGTCTGTCTGTGAGAAAGTGACTGTAGACGAGATGCCAGATCAGGGCCAATTATATTGCATATCCGCCTCTGGAGCCTATCAAGAACCCCGAGGCAAACAGAAGGGGCTCTAGACCATATATGGTAGCAATACTCCATGCAAGGGTGAATTGTTGATTTGTAGATCTGGAGGATCGTTTCCGGGGAGAAAAAATTCCTGGCGCGGCACAGGGAGCCAACTTTCCTTGTGGTGGACGAAGCAATTGACTCAATGTATTTGTTCCATCTCAGGCGCAGAGAGTTGCTCTCGAGAAGTTGAGCGTCAGACATTCTAATGAAGGACAGGGAAGGATCTCTGTGGTGATTAATAGAGAGCAGTTTTGTTTTTGAAGCATTAAAGTTGACCAGCCAATTCCTGCCCCAGTTCACAACCGATTGGAGGTCCTTTTCGAGACGCACGGCCAGGTTATTTTTGTCAGTGACACTAGATTTGTTTTTGAGGCAGGAATAAATTGTGGTGTCATCCGCGTAGATGCCAACTTGGGAATTTATGGCGTCAGGAAGGTCATTTATGTAGATAAGGAATAGAGTGGGGCCTAGGATGGAGCCTTGAGGAACACCTGCGTTCGTGGGATAGGAACTGGAGGAGAATCCGTTGAGAACGACCTTCAATTCACGGTTTGACAGGAATGATTGTATTAGGTCAAACAATCGACCCGTAATGCCATAACCCTGGAGCTTGCGAAGAAGGCCGGCATGCCAAACCCTATCAAACGCTTTGGAGATGTCTAGGGCCACGGCACGAGCTTCCCCGTTATTTTGAAGAGCTTGGTAGACAGTTTCAGCGATGGCCGTAATCGCATCAGCTGTAGATCGGGCAAAGCGGAAACCATATTGCTTGTCTGAGAGCAGATCATGGGATGTAAGGTGGTTAACCACCTCGGTATTGATTAGGGCTTCAAGGACTTTGCCGAAGAGGGGTAGGAGACTGATAGGACGGTAGTTAGAAGGGTCAGATGGGCTGCCAGAGTTCTTGAAGAGGAACAATTGAAGAGGACTTCCAGCAGTCAGGAAAACAAGATTCCTTGAGGCAGTAATTATATATTTTAGAGATGGCGGGCACCAGTTCAGGTGCACATTTCTTCAAGACAATGGCTGGTATCCCATCTGCACCACTAGCCTTGTTGGGTTCTAAATTGGAGATAATGCCCATTACCAAAGACGGGGTTATGTGTAACCCACTCAATAGGGCCTCAGTTCTAAGAGGGAAGTCGGGTATGGGTACACCGGAAGAGTCGAGCGTTGAATGAAAATTTTCGAGTAAAGCATTCAGCCTTGTCGGTAGAGGAGGTCAGGACTTCAAACTGGTTGAACAGAGGAGGTATAGAGGGTTTGCAATTGTTCAATACGCTCTTGCAGAGACGCCAATAATCTTTGGAGCCAAATTTGTGAGATGCAATATGCTCCTTCATCCGAGCAGAAATAGTGACTTAGCGTCGTTGAGGACATGCTTACACTTGTTACGGGCGGAGGCAAAGAGACATCTATTGCAGTCCAACGTCGCTATGAAATAGGTGAAAGAAGTGGTTCCTATGGGCAATGGCGGCTGAGCAAGCAGCGGAGAACCAAGGGCAAGATTGCGATTTGACCCTATATTTCCTTGAGGAGATGAAAGCATCGATTCCAGCTTTAACCCAGGATGAGACCTCAGAAGCACATTCTTGGACAGTGAGCGTAAAGACAACATCCCAGGGGACATTGTGGAGGAAATCACGGAACGCGTTCCAGTCAGCTCGTTGATAGTAGAATAAAGTTCTAGTGGTAGGAGGTTCTTTGCAGGGGGTGGAGTTGAAGGAGATGTTAACAGAAACTGCAGCATGATCGGAGTTACCAAAAGGGCAGAGTTGCATGGCACTACATGACTCGGGGATGGAGGTAAAACACAGATTGAGAAGAGAGGCCTTACCTTCCCGGTTGAAGGCAAAATGAGTGGGGAAGTTAACTATCTGCGTGAGGGATTGAGAAACTGAAAAATTAAGTATTTGAATGCCTGCATGGTCAGTAGTAGCATCCTTAAGCCACTTGGTATGATGGGCATTAAAGTTGCCAAACAAATATGTGAGCAAACAGGTGGAGGGAGAGAGCCTTTTCTATGCTGTCAGAAATGCTATTGAGTATCCCACTGTCTTGAGAGAATGGAGAGCGGTAAAGGAAGAAGAGATAGCTTACCGCATTGAGAAGAGATAGACGGAGACACATGTATGACTGGTCTGGCGATTTGAGAGACAACTCTCTGGCCAGAGGGAGATGGTCCTTCATGTAGACACCAAGGCTGTGCATGTGGGTTAGAGAGTCTTTTCTGAGGAGAGGAAGGTAGCCTGTGATCGAGAGATCAGAGGAGGGAATAGACGAGACAAGGTTGGTCTCACAGAGAGCCAGTATATCCGGGCAGTTTGCAGTGAGGAAAGATTCCATACTGCAGAAGTTTGTTCTAATGCCACGGATGTTGGAGAACAAAATGTTGAGGGGTTTAGGTGATTTTTGAGGGGCTGGTTTAGGATTACTTTTTCGGTCTTTGTAAGTCATCATGTGGAATTATGGTTGGAAGATGAGAATGCCTGAAGTAAAAGAAACAGACAGTTATCGACTGTGACGTGGGCAGAGAGGAGTTGGCACAGCCTGCATCATAATGTGGCCTCAGGGTTGCCCACCGGAGGTGACTGCAGGGACACCTTTCCATGCGCGACATGGCACTACAAACACCCCGGTATTATACAACTGTTGATCAGAGCGGCCGCTCAAGACGCTACGCAAGAGTTAGGGCTCCTAACTACCAGTCGGAAACAGCAACCAGAGAACTGTCAACCGTGTACCCTCAGAATGAAGAGGCAATGCCACAGACTGCACACATCACGGGAGAAACAGAGCTGCACTAGTACAGAGGCCAGAGAGAGAGAGAGAGAGAGAGTACCAGGAACCCCTTCCTAAACAAGAAACAAGGCGTGAGCCTCTACTCATGTCCAAGAGAAGGGGGAGGAGTGTTGACCGGGCAGTAGGAAAGCCTACCTACTCTTATTACATATAACACATACAAGAATGACATAAACAAAGGGAAGGATAAGAGGGGGAGATAGTTGGCAAAGTGTCCAGGCTGACACTTGGATTTTACCCTTTCACAACACTAAGTTTTAACTTAGTACAAGTCCTATTGTCCTACTTATAAAAAAAAAATTGAAGAAAATAAGGTTATCCGGCTTTGTTGATATGTCATAATAAATGCCACATCATACATGGCAGCGAGTGTTTGTCCGCTTTCATTCTCATGATAACTAGTGAATGTACGGCTTACCTTAAGTCCAAGCATAGGGTTTCAACAAAACGCAGAGCTGGTGGTGGTGGTGGTGGGGGGGGGTCAACGGCCAATCCTCTGCCCCTACCAACAGTGGGGTTGGGAGACATGCTTTCAATAAAATTAAGAACAACAGGAGAAAGAAACGGCAAAAACAATTCCATGTTCGGACATTTTATCTAGCAAGAAAATTTGGCCAACTAGATCATGAGAATACTGACGAGACACTTTCGCATCTAAGCCAAAGACATTCAATTTTCCTTTTTTTGATTTTTCTTTCAAACTGGGATTTCTAACTAAACCATCAAATAGGAATATGTTAGGTTAGAATGATTAGGACAAAAATAAATGTGTTACAATAGTCAAACACACTGACGAGTAGAGGGAGAAAAAACAAAACAAAAAAAACACTATTCTTTTTGCCTGTGTGCCATGTCCTTTCAGGACATTGGCAGTCATTGGCTCTCCACAACTTCCTATTATTTGTTGCTCTTAATAAATTTTATCTTTTTGTTATCTCTCCTAAACCTTGTTCCACCATCCATTTTAGGCTTACGGCCATAACACATTGAAACATTGATTCCCATACAATCACTGAAGTTAAGCTATGTCAAGCCTGGTCAGTACCTAAATGGGTGATTGCTTGGGAATACCAAGTTCTGTAAGCTTGGATGTGCAATGGATAATGGCTTGGAATTGTTAATTAGAGAGCCGAGTTCCCATTCACATTGGGTTTATTATGTTTACTTAGGCATAAATACTCTTGGGAGAAATATGAATCCACCTCTTCTCCCCTTGCTATGAGTTAATCAGTAAGACTTGTATCACTACACCATTATTATCTCAAAAAACAATTCTTACAATCTAAAAATATATTCGGGCTTTAAATAACCTGCAAACGGTTGATAAGCCATAGAAAATGAGTCAGTCAATCAACCATTCATTTACTCAAGCTCACTAGGTAGGTTATGTGTTGTTTTCTTCTCTCTATTGCCTGTTCTGTGAGTATCAAATTTTCCAAGCCCTCTTTATTATGTGCCCTAAAAATTTCAACTGATGTTAAGCAAAATGTCTTTTTTGTTTCAGTTTTTCTCTAAAACTTTGTTATTGCTCACATGTTCAGTCCATGATATTCTTAGCATCCTTCTGTAGAACCACATTTCTATTACCTTTTGATAATATCATTTTATTATTTGCTAAAATCAAGATAATGTAGTTAAAGTCTGCAAAACTAATGGCATCAACTACATTTTCTTGTCTGTGAATAAAATATTTATTACTTACAAGTAGGTTCTTTGCAAATAAACTTAGATGCTAATATACTCCAGACATAGATGACACATGTGGTAAGATAAAAGGAAAAACATTGAAGTCAAAAGAGTGAAAATATTTCTTTAACTGTGACACTCTCATATCAGAGTCAGACATATAAACTTGTTTACTTGAGTTTTCAACCATATCATGTTTTCTTATATCATTAGATAGACTTGCTACATGCTCAACTAAAACATGTATCTTGATCTTTGACACATTTAAGTGTTGGGTTGATAAAACCTGTTGCACTACAGTTCCTAATTTAACTAAACAGGAAACAAAATTTACCCAACGAAAATTCTAAACACACAAACATCTATAAAAATATATATTTTTATCATATAAGTTGATATATGCCTTATTATATTTTAGGTGAAAGAAAATAAGATAATAAGAACTACCTACAGATATAAGTGTACAGTCACATATATATATACATATATACACATACACACATACACACAAATATATGTCTACACATACCTACACACACACACATATATATATATATATATATATGCATACACATATGTATATATACATATACAGAAGCAAGTATAAATATATCAACCCGCACAGCAATGTAAAAAATAAACAAACCAAATATAAATATATATACATATATGCACATATATACAAATACACATATACATACATATACGCATACATACATAATGGGTCATCAATTTCAGTAGCGATAAAAGGAAATGGGATAAATTTCAAAAAGGTGATATTTTCATGTATTTTTTATATAACAATTGGCTGATTAACAAAGAGGGAATAGACTAGAATGCTTGCATGCAAATATAACTGAAAAGTAAGAAGACATTAAAAGTTAGCAATTAGTAATTGTGTGTGTAATACACTTGTGTGCATGTGTGAAAAAGTTCAGTCACTCAGGGGAAAATATCCCCATGTCAGGAACAAGTCCATGATATATCTACAACACTACCCTGTTGCTCTAAGCCAATGGTTCCCAAACTTATTTCTCTGGCTGCATTTTTGGATTGAAAATTTGCTTGTGCCTCACCAAATTTTATGTGATAAAAAGTATACTTAAAAAATAAAAAATAGAGAGATGGTTAAAGGGAGATAACTGTGGATTCAAAGAACATTATCAGTGATAACTCTCTCCTTGAGTTTGCAGAGCCTAGTTACTATATTCTTAATACTTGATATAATGCAAAAATATCACAATTGGTCAATAATTATTTATAACTATTTATACTGGGACTCACGCATGCAATTACAAGTAATCCATAATAATATTTTAAGTTTTGTAATCATATTTATTTTTGACATATCAGATTTTTTAAAACTGTTTCTAAATCTTTGATTGTCTTTTAATCATTCTGCCTCACCTGGTATCCTCTTGTGCCATACCATTTGGGAACTACTGCTCTAAGCAATACTCTTTACCATTCTCTTTGCCTCTGATCTGCCATCCATCCACAAAAACTCATTAGGTAGGTTACTTGCTATTTCCTTCTGCCTATCTACTTCCAGTATATCCTGTGAATGTTAAATTCTCTGTGCTGCCTTTCCTCATTATGTGTTGAAGAAATTTCAACTGTCTCTTTCTGATTGTAAGTGTTCTTTTAGTTTCCATTTTCTTTAAAGCTTCCTCATTGCTCACATGTTCTGCATTTGTCTGTAGAACTACATATCTGTTGCCTAGAGTTTCTTTTTCATAGATAAGGAAATTGTCCAATGTTCACTACTATATATAAGGAGGGATATGATAGCACATTTTTCTAACAAAAGTTTCCTATCTCTTAATACTTTCTTTAGTCTCTGGAAGGCATCTTTCATTATTTCAATGTACCTTTGAATTTCATTGTTGCTACACTATCCAGATAGTTAAATTTCTATACCTGCCTGATTGTGACATCTCCCATTGGCACTCACACTTTTGGCTGTCTCTTTTGGTGAGGACCATATATTATATATTCTTAAAATTAATAGTCCTTTCTTCTCACTTTCTTTTTATACCTAGTCTAAAAGTTTTTTATATTGAATTTTCCTTCTAAGATGTCAGCATGGTATTATCTGTGTATCTTAGTAAATTAAAATATATGAAAAGAACTAGAAAGGGTGACTACAGATTTCTGCCCACTTAATTATCAGGTTTCCATAATTGAAGTGATTAACGCAATATCCACAAAAGATTGCCTCCCAGTGTGAGTTCATGCTTTCTTTAGTTCTCATTTGTGCTGCTTATTTCAATGGTCAAATGCATCAAACCAGATTGTTGTAATAAAAATCAAGATGAAGTAAGGTGAGTAATCAAATAATAGTAAGTCCTTTTTTCTGACAAAGAAAATGTCATGAGATATTATGCCACTGATGCTAATGTGACTCATCAATATACACATGGCTACTGACAAGCAGTAACATTCATAGGTATCATGGATTTTATATGAACTACACTTAAAACTGAAGGAAAGATTATAGTTACTCACTGATTTCTATTTGCAAGTTTTACATGACTAGGCACTTACAGCTGGATATTAAAACTTTTGATCTGCATGTGAGTTAGGCATTCAAAATTAAAGGAATTGATCAAGACATGTAAAATGCTACAATGTTCAGTAACTTTATTGTTTAAAATCCAAGATATCCTCAAAATTAATAAGGGAGACTGAAAAAAAATGTTTTTCACAATTTAGTCTGTTGTAAAGTATGTAAATTATGCGATAAGCTTCTTGGAGCTAGTATGATTGCTTTTGCTAAAATGGTGATATAAAGTAACTATTTTCTATTGTATTTTAACTTTATTTTATTATAGATAGTAAGTCAAAAACTAGTAATTCAGAAAAAGAAAGGAAAAGAGATGAAAAAATTATTCAAGATAATTTTAATATATACCTTAGACAATTTCATGAAAAACTATCAAAAATTGAGTCCTGAAGCTGAAAAAAATCAGAATATCATTATCTGTCTTAAAATGCAACAACTCTAAAAAAATATTGCCACTCTTGCCTTCACTGTATTTGTTGTTGTTGTTATGTTTTTATTAATTCTTTGTAAATTTCACCCTGTCTTTTCTGTCTAGACGACTTAGAGTGGATTCTTTTTTACTAATTTATTTATTTATACAAATCATGAAAGAGATCAATACTCTTTAGCAGGTGAAAGTACTGTGTAGTATATTCCTGATACAAGTAATATCTTATATAAGAGCAGACAAGTAAGTTCTTTCAGACAAGTCAGAAAGAACTTAATGGATCTTAATGGTTTAAATATACAGATGATATGTGAAATTTTTGCAGTCTTAAACATTTATTTTTTTTTTTTTATTGACTAGAACTAGAATTTTATAGAAAACATACAATTTTTTTTGTCAATTTTAAGCTATTTTTTTTCATTAATTTTCTATCTCTGGAGATCATTCTGGTTTTGGGTTTACAGAATCAATTTTGATTTTTCTATTTCTGCAGTAGTTAAGGTAATAAAACAAACAGCAATTCTAATATTGTTGACAGAGAACCTTTTAAGAATAGTTTATCGGACACTTCTGTTTATTTTGTTTATTAGAGTTTTTGGAAAAAGCTGAAAATGACTTACAAATGATCTATTGTATTGTTCATAACCAACTCTTTAGATAATATTTTTTCTAATTCAAATCTAAACTAAGTGGAAATAACAATCAGACGTTGCAGCTAGAGAGTTGGTGGTTTTTGAGCTGAAGCCACTAACATCTGCTAATAAATTGCATGAAAAGCCCAATGACATACATCAGTGGAACATCCAAAAATCTCTAAAATACTATACTAACTTGCAATATGAGTCAGCTGAGGTCTTCTTAAATTGAAAACAGCTGGAACTGTCACAAAAATGGATATAGAACATTTACTTTCAACTAATGGTTTTCATTAAGTGAAGTTGACTTCAAAGCACAGAGCAAGAGGCTCAGACAGAGAGGAAGTCACAGAATGAAGACAAATTATTTTTTTTAGATTAAGATGACAAGACAAAGAAAAGTGTTATCTATAAAACTGAACATCCTGTGAAAAGGCACACAGAGGGATGAAGCAGCCTTGGAGAATATGCCTCATCTCTACTTCGCTTATTTATACCAGTAGGTTATAACCCAAGAATAATATCTGGTTTACTGCCAGAAATTGTTTTGTTTTTTCACTTGTGGGTAACAATCTGACTGAAAGGTATTTTTAAAGCCACACTTGTTTGGCTGAAAGAAACTGCACCCTATCAACAAACTTGGTGTCTGGTCTAAGCTGAAACACAACATTTGCAGGGATGTATTGCAGAACAACATTTTAAAGACATTAGTAGTTCACTGTAACACATGATCACATTTCCAACCTAAATTTCAACCAATCTGATTAAAA